TATCGTCTGCAGGTAGCCATGATAACAACGGAAACCTACAATAACACATGATAATTTATCAACAAACATAATAGAAAAATCATAAATCAAATTAGACAAAAAAAAGGCTATGAAACCTAAACCCTAAACTACATACATAACCCTAAACCTAAACTAAACAGCCGTCAAACCAAAGAATCAAAATCAAAACATACAAGCAAATCGAACCAAACAATAGTGAATAAAACTAGGGTTCATAAATCACAAAAAAGAGGAAAAATTTAAAAACACCAATGAATACATACGAATAAGTGAGAGGAATGAGTGATTGATGTTTTGTGAACCCACCGCACGATTGGAAGAAGATTTTTGGCAAAATCACGAATTGGAGGCTTAGGGTTTGGTTATAATCAATTAAGGTATCGATTATAACTCCCATCTACCAAATGAGGGTTTTAAAAAAATGTTTCTGGCATTATTTAATCAATTAAACAATTGTGGTTTAATCGATTAAATAAAGAGGTCAACGAATCGATCATGCCCCGTGTTGTAATCGATTAAACAACGGTAGATTGGTGGAATGTTTTAGTAAGGGGAAAATGGTTATTTTTAATTAATGCAGGGTAAAAAGGGTCAAAAAGTCAAGGAAATAACCATAAAGGTAAGGGTAATATAAATGTATTATTTTTTTATATTTAGTAAAGGATGTACCCAATGGATATATCTGTAGTACTAGAAATATTTTCTTTAGGAGGAGGGCTCTTTAACACCAGCTTTGAACCCAACACTTGCTTTAATCTCTATTTATGATGACATAAATTCCTCCTTACAACTCAAGAATTAAGAATTATCGCAAAAACAAGGTCTCCCATACATAAAAATTATACAGGAACAAAAAAAATCTTGAATTACATTTTGAAAAAGTACAAATCAATTCGTCTACAGTAATAAGATTACTATTCCTGATTCACTTACTTCTATTATGTCAATATTAATCACTACTGTAGGTATTTTGGTTATTATTTACAGTGATAATTATATGTCTCATGATCAAGGATATTTGAGATTTTTTTCTTATATGAGTTTTTTAATACTGCAATGTTGGGATTGGTTACTAGTTCTAATTTGATACAAATTTATATTTTTGGGAATTGGTTGGAATGTGTTCATGCCCATAAAGGTCCATTTACAGGTCATGCCCCACCCATAAGTAAGTATTTCGTAGTAGCCTCATTAGACTGTACACTTTTCTTGTTATATCCAGATAGTAGACATGAGCATAAACTGAAACACTCTGGAGATACAAAGATGGTTATTAAATCGTTAGCGGGGCATAAAACATTCCTCATAGAGTAATTGTTAATACAAATAACATAAACTCTATTATAATCATTTCTGTACATTCAATGTACTCTACGGATAGAGGAATACATGGTCATATGGGATTTCCCAGGGTCAACCCCGCCAGGTCACTACCCCCTCTCTCTGAAGGTTGGGGTCAGCAGTTAGACCCTACATGCACATTGACTCCTCAAACCCCCGAAACCCCTCGGTTGAACCCGTGACTCCTGAGTGAAAGGGATCAAAGGGGGTCACTGCATTTAAAAAAAAATTACACACGAAACGACGTCGTTTTGTGTGAGGAAAAAAAAAACAAAAACTCTTTGTTGCCTAGATCTAGAACTAAATCTGAAATCTAATCGTTCTTCTTTTTCTCTTGTGATATTCTCTTCTAGACTCAGACTCAGTCTCCCTGATCCGGTGATCTCCTCCGCCTCTCCTCCGTCGTGGTGGTGGATCCTCCTATCCTCTTTGGCCTTCTTTCTCCCTCTCCTCCTTTGTTTTAGTTCTTCTCTCCCCCACCGTTGATTAGTCGCGTCGCCGCCTCTCCTCCGCCATTCTCTCTTGGTTAAAGGATCTATTTTCACATGTTGTTGTAGGTGTGTGAGAATGACACGGAGGGCCCGATTTTGATGATATAATTTTTCATTAACTCTATTGAAATATACGTTTTATACTTTGATAATTTGATACTTTGATTAGCTTGTGTAATAATGACTCGTAAATGTAATTGGTTGAATTATATTAAGTATATTTTAAATCTTTCATGATTGGTGGTTTGATTATTTTGAATTTTTCATATATAATATATATTTATATTTTTTAATGTATAAAATCGAATTAACAAAGTGACCCCTTAACCTCCGATTGAACTCGTAACCCCTGGCGATGTAAGTCTTTGCGATGACTTGTGATATGCTATCATCTTAAAACGGAACAACTTTATCTTCTACATCTCTCGCATCGAAAAATATTGAGGAAGGAGCATCTCTATTCGTTTTGATTTAAAAAAAGTTTTTGACGAAGCAAGGTTGTGCAATATTGCAATATTGCAATATAATAGCTAATATTATCAATACCCACACCCTTCGTGGTTAATCTACTCCTTCAAACTAGGGTTGGCAAAAACGAGCCAACCCGTTGGGTTGGCTCGCAACCCGTCCTAAATGAGTCGGGTTGGGTTGGCCTAAATGAGCTGCCGACCCGATACAACCCGACCCGATACAACCCTAACCCAAACGAGCCAGCCCTCGGGTTAAACGGGCCAGCTCGCGGGTTGGGTATTTTTTTTAAATTAAAAAAATAAAACGTTTGGTTTGAGCGTTTTAACGCTGAAGACCAGAATCCTTTTCCAGCATCAGGGCGCTAACACGTTCTGGATGGACGTTTTAGCGCTCCAGACCAGCATCTTTTGGCTTCTTTCTGTAGCAGGGCGTTAAAACGTTCTGGATGAACGTGTTAGCGCTCAACACTTAGAATTTTTTCTCTTCTTCAGAATCTTCTTCCTTCTCCTAGAGCCAACCCGCGAGCTTTTTTCCGAGCCAACCCGCGAGCTGATTATCGAGCCAACCCTAACCCGGCTCGGGTTGGGCTAGGTCGGGTTTTCTGGCTCGTTTATTTTTTCGAGCCAACCCTAACCCGACCCGATTTTTACGGGTTGAATGCGGGTTGGGCCGGGTTGGCCCGTTTTGCCAACCCTACTTCAAACTATAACATCCTTTGGGTTCTTTATCGTACAATATTGCAATATAAATAGTTGTTATTTTTATTACTAGTAGTGCAACACGGACAATTTGTATTGTCTAGTTTAAAAATAAAAATTAGTGAATAGAATTTGAAATTAAAGAGTTATGTATATAAACCATTGGGTCACTTTTTCTGAAGTTACTGCAGATAAGTTATCTGCAGTAAGCTCAATACGACGTCATTTTGGAGCAGAAATCATGATATTTTTGTAATTTTAATTTATTTCAAGGTTATTATAGTCTTTATAATTATAATTTTTTTATATTTCAATCCCAAAATAACATCGTTTTGAGAGTAAATGCAGATAATTTATCTGCAGTAACTGCAGAAATATTTTTCTGATAAACCATATGGGCTAAGATATTAAAAAATATATAGGGAGGAAAGTGATTCAATGCAAAACCATAAAGGTATGTTTTGGAGTTCATATTAAGAGGAAAAAGAATGTTTTACTTATGTCTTTTCTTTATAAGTAAGTTTTAAAAATTAAAGGAAGGGAATAGGAAATTTTTGTAAAACCCTTCTTACAATTAAAATTAGAGTTCCTTCAATTTGGGAGTCTATAATAAATTATTTATATGTCCATACTCTTTTTCTCAATTTTTTTTCTCTCATTCAATTCAGAAACAATCAACCCTCTTTCTCGCTCTCTCTTCATTTCACGCAAAAACAAAATATAAAATTTACATAAATAATTTTTTTTTAAAATTAAATTAATTTTATTTGTAAAATATAATAATTATATTAGTTTTTTCAGAAAGGATAAAATTGTAAAAATATCTCATTAACTCTCTATTTTCTCCCTTATCATATCTTTAACTTCTAAATCAGGGAAAGACAATATCCTTCATTTTCCTTTCCCTTCCTTCCCCTTTGATCCCCTTCTTTCTTTTCCCCTCAAACTTCCAAACACTCTCTAATGAGATTTTTGAACTTTTCCATAAAATATTCTATGATCTTATCCTGTTTTATATATTTATCTTTAAATCTTTAAATAATTAATTAATAATAAAAAATTTATGAAGATAAAAATTGAACACCATATATAGATTATCAATTAATAGTACTCTACCTATACTATATCATCTATATTTTATCATGCAATATGGTCTGGCCATTTGGCTGTGTCACATTTGTCCTCATAATTCCTCCGATGATGATGACTCCATTTAGACAAAATACACACACTCAAGTTTTATAGTTTTGAATCTGTTAGTCCGATCATGGTTTTCCTATCCCAAAAAGGAAGCATCCTTCCTCTTTTCGCCGGTAGTGAGCGAAGAGGGATTTGAATCCCCGACACCTTGCATAACTTATTAGTAGAAAGACAAAGTCTTTAGTCTTGACTACCACCATATTTTATAAATTTTCTAAATATGCCCAGATGAGCATTGAATTGAAAGCATCTTGAGAACTGACAGTGTTAGTAGTGGTGGAGGAAGGGAGCGTGGCATAATCAGCAATTATGACACAGGATAATTTTGTTTGGTTCTAAAGAATAAAAGCTGGCTTCTTATCTTGTAATGCACCGTGTTCATTTTTATTCAATTGAATCCATATATAGCACCATCCTTCTTAGACTTGTGCCTTTGTTTATTAACACTTGACTGCAACAAATTTAGAGTCTCTAGAGCTGAAAGAGCCAAATGCGTAATGGTGATTTTAGATCAATGGGCTTTGTAGCTTAAACCAAAAAGGTAAGAGGAAAAATACTTACACTAATCCTTGTGTTAGATGAATAAATTAGGTCAAAAAATTATTTCCATTGGGTTAATAATACTAACATCATACTGCAATTATAACAGAAACATAAGGATCTGTATGGGTCATGACACTGTTTAAAATTCCTTGTGAGTTACTAAGTTAACGATCGTGCATTCAAATACTAACACGCTATTATCTAAAATTCTAAATTATAAAAGAAACATCTCATTTATACAAAACAGCAACGTATCATACTGCAAAGCACAGGTCCAACATCAAGAACTCCGTATGCTTAACAGAGTATTCAAAACTTAAAATAGGAAAATGACATTATAAATGTCAAACCAATGTCATGTATGGGTTCAGGAATGGCTTCAAATAAGCAAAAGTTGATACATGAAGGAAAGGAGCAGAACGAAGAAAAGAAGGAAACGAGAAAGCTAGGGGTTTTCCCCTTTGATGATTGACTTTCTTGTTATATATAGACTTCTCATGATTGAGTATTGATGACCCGACATTGAGGCACCGTTTTATGAAGCATAATTGTACCTTTGAATGCCATTATCTGATGGTAGTTTTTTCTGTAGTTGGTAATCTGCCGCACAAGGGTAAACTAGATCATTCTGAGTTGGGGATATGGGTCTTGTGACAAATAAAGCAGGTAGCAAAATTATAAGAGCAACAGAAACCTAGTTGTAGATCAACGTAAAACTAATGCTAGAATAAAGTGGCAAAATGTTAACCTAGCTCCTAACATGTAAGTAGTCGAGCAAAATATATACCTCGTCAGGTTTCATCTTGCTAAACCCAAAGTTATCTGTCCATATGGATTCTGCTTCTTCAGCAGCTGGTAGCACAAGGTTCTTCACATTCAAGAAAGCTAGCAGCCTCTCAATGCACGAGAACAGTGTTTGGAAGTAGCCCTGTTAGGGCAAACCAATATAAATATTGCGTTACCGAGACATAGGCATAGGTGATCAGAACATAACAAGAACAACCATGTCTTAACTAGTTATCCCACTAGTCAAATCATCATAACAGAGTAATATATCAAAATTCCAGAGAACAGAAAACTTCAACAAGAGAAAAGATCATGATGCAACCAAGACAGACAACTAGAAATTGAGTTATAGAAAAATACGGTAGTAAAGATCACAGAACTAAAACTATCACTGTTGAACACCTACAAAGGAAACTCATGAGACACGACCTACTTTGTGAAGCAAATTCTGATTTACATATGAAATACCATGCTCCCACGACCCACTTTGTGAAGCAAATTCTGCTTTAGCTAATTAAATACGATGCCAATGGCCACCTTAAGTCCCCGCAAAACAAATAAAGGAAAAGAACAATTTTAAAAGGGAATGGGGTTTTGGAGCGGGAGAGACATAAGGGTACCCCAAGAAATGTCAACCAAGTTAGTACTTAGTAGTACAGTCTCGCACCTTTCCACGGTTCTTATTCCTCGTTGCAACTAGAGGAAGTTCTGCAATATCGCTACCAAAAATCCGAAGCATGCCCGCAGATACCACATATGAACTTCAATGTCAAGAAAACAAAATGTGAACAGTACTGTAAGAAAGTATGAAATAATTAAAGTTAAATAAAGAAATACGCTTCTTACTTGACCATTAATAATGCACAATACATTCCTCCAAAATCCTGAGTCTGCAAATTCCTTCTGCATGTGAATGATATGTTAGTTGAGACAAAGGGAAGAAAAAAATTGAAAAGAAAAATGAAAAGCAAAAAATGTTCTAAAAGGAGTTTCGTACCCATAAACCATGGCCGGAATAAGGTCACGTCCAGTAGCTGCATCTACTATAGGATCAAAGCATTCCTGAAACACACGAGAGATCTCTAAATACCAGAGTTCAATAGTGGTATTAAATCATTTAAATGATACATGGAAAACTCAAAAAAGCTTAAAGAAAAATAGAAATGCACTACAACAGAGATATACATTGTAACAAATTACGCACCTACTCAAGAAATGCCCTATACAATGCTTATATATAATGCAGTACACAAATATAGACAGACACTTTATATACATGCTGAATGGTTATATATATATATATATATATATATATATATATATATATATATATATATATTTTGTTGTAAATAATTATATTTGTTTATTTATTTATTTTCATTTTAGAATCTTCTTTGGGCTTAGCCCATTAGGTTATTTAGTCTCTTTAAATAGAGAGCAATTGTACAGATGTAATATAAAATTTTATCAATAAGATTATCTCTTTTTTCAACTTGGTATCAGAGCCTCGTGTCCCGGGTTCGATTCTCGCCGCCCCTCATTTTCTTTATGGAATTTCTTAGCACAGGTAGGTCAAGCTTGATGCATCATCCACCTTTCAAGCCCTATGGGCTCTTTTGTGAGGGGGCGTGTTAAAGTATAATATAAACTATTAAAGAGGCATTCACCCAAAAGCTTAAGCTTTTGGGTTGAATTGGTTCTTTACATGGTATCAGAGCCTTAATGTACCAGGTTTGATCCTCGCCAGCCCCCATTTTCTTTGTGGGATTTCTTAGCACAGGTAGGCTGGGCCTGTTGCATCATCCACTTTTCAAGCCCAATGGACTCTCTTGTGGGGGGTGTGTTGAGATAAATAAAACCATTAATGTAACCTCACCCAACAGCTTAACCATTTGGGTTAAATTGATTCTTTACATGATATCAGAGCCTCATGTGCCGAGTTCGATCCTCTCCATCCCCCATTTTCTTTGTGGAATTTCTTAGCACGGTAGGTCGGGCCTGATGCGTCATTTTCTTAGCACGGCTAGCCTCTGAGTTTGAAATTAGAGATCTTGGGAGATTGAAATATTTCCTAGGGACAGAGGTAGCTCATTCAAACGAAGGAATTTTTATCAGCCAGAGGAAATATGTCCTTGATCTTTTTAAAGAAGTGGGAAAACTTGGGTGTAAACCCTCTAGTACTCCTATTGAGCAGAATTACAAGATAGGTTATGAAGAGGAGAGTCCTCCAGTTGATAAAGGACAATATCAGCAGTTAGTTGGGAGACTGATATATTTGGCTCATACTAGACCAGATCTTGCTTACGCTATCAGTATTGTAAGTCAGTTCATGCATAATCCAAAAGAAAAACACATGCAGGCACTGGAGAGAATTCTTCAGTATCTTAAAGCTACTCTTGGTAAAGGACTGTTGTTCCGGCGTAATGGCAATCTCTCTTTAGAAGTTTATACCGATGCTGATTATGCTAGTCCGTAACTGATCGTCGATCTACCACTGGTTATTGTATGTTTCTTTGTGGTAACCTAGTGACATGGAGGAGTAAGAAACAGGATGTGGTTGCCAGATCGAGTGCTGAGGCTGAATTTCGAGTTATGGCTCAAGGTGTTTGTGAATTATTGTGGTTGAAAATTATACTTGGTGATCTTAAAATAAGATGTGAAGGACCTATGAAGTTGTTTTGTGATAATAAGTCCGTCATTTGTATAGCTCATAATCCAGTTCAACATGATTGGACTAAGCACATTAAGGTCGACCGCCAATTTATCAAAGAGAAGCTTGATAGCGGGTTGATCACCACTCCATACATCCTTTCTGGACATCAATTAGCTGATATTCTGACAAAGGAACTTCCCTCAGAGAGGTTTGAAGAGCTTACTAGCAAGCTGGGAATAATAAATATCTATTCTTCAGCTTGAGGGGGAGCTTTGTAAATAATTGTATTGTTTATTTATTTATTTTCATTCTAGAATCTTCTTTGGGCTTAGCCCATTAAGTTATTTAGTCTCTTTAAATAGAGAGAAATTGTACAGAAGTAATATACAATTTTATCAATAAGATTATCTCTTTTTTCAACTTATATAAATATATATATATATGGGTCCATCGAATGTCCAGTCACTGGATATAAGATTTTGTCATGTCACCAAGGTCGTTAAAAAAGAGATTTTACAGAAAAACGGAAGGGGGATAAAAAATCGTAAAATGTAGAATCGTAACATAAAAAAAAAAATCGTAAAAACGTAAAAAAACCTGGAATATTGGTAAAAACGTTTTGATGAAAAAAAAAATCGTAAAAACTTAGTGATGAATCAAGATTTTAACTACAATGTCTGTCACCCCATATAACTATGTACTCCGGAGAGTACACTATATAGTTATAATATTAAAGTTGTTTTTTTCTCTTTCTCCATGTCAGCCGACAAGTTTCTGAAAAGAAAAAAAAAATAACTTTAATATTATAACTATGTACTCCTCGGAGTATATAGTTGGGGTGACAGGACAAAACCTTATGTCCAGTCACATAACAAACAATAAACCTTATATATATATATATATATATATATATATATATATATATATATATGCCATCAGAAACTTTGGCAAGAAGAAAATAATTATAAAATCATACATATGTTTGAACATGCATTTATGTTGAAGGCAAAACTTTTCAACACTCCTAAAAATGGATTTATATATAAATTTTTTTTTTCAATGGCTGTTAAATCACAAGCTACAACCAAACTAAGGCATACAATGAAGAAGAATAACACCATTAATAACAAAACTGCAAATCAGCTCTACCATTTGTTGGAGAACAAACAAGGATTATCACCTTCCCCCACCAAGGGAAAAAGAAGATGATGATGAAGCAACTCATAAGGACTGGCAGAACTTACATGAAACATTGACACAGCCTCCAAAAGCAATGGTCTAGTTTCAGGAGAAGCAATTTTGCCATTTAGAAGTTTCCATCTTACATCAATCTCGTTAAGGGGTTCTAAACATCTTTCCTCTTGCTTTTTCTTTATAACATCCAAAAGAGATTCAGGGAGTCTCTCATCCCCCCTAACCAGAAGGTTCTCCAAAGTAGAATGTATTCTTGTGCAATCATTGCAACAAAGCCAATTCCCTTCCGGCAACTCCTGTCGTTATATACATATGATGTCCAATGGACAAAAATGAGGTAAGTGTCCAAACTAATGTATCCACGTATAAAGAAATAGCAACAGAGAATACCTTCAAATATGCCATCTTATGATCCCTCAAACAGCCAACATGATATTCCTTTTCACACTACAACAAACCGGGGGTGGGGGTTAATAAAAACAACAAATATGACGTTAGTGCAGTCCAACCGGATCAAACCCTAGAGTTGGATACTTGCATCAATCAAGAACCAAGCATTCATCATTGGTGATCATGCCCTTCAAACAAGGGAACTTGACTCTACAGGTTACTGAGGCCTTCTATGAGATGTCAAAATAAATAATGGACTAGAATCCATACCTGATCACAGATTATTATAGTGCGTGGACCAAATCCTGATATGCTGAAGTCAGAACCCCTACATGCACAAAGTTTTCTCTTTATAACAGAAAAATCGAAAATCTATTACACTGATTTATGATTAAGCTTGAATACAGAAGTAAGAAGGACGGAAACAATTACTGATTTCAAGAAGTACAATGTTAGAAGGTAGCCAAGTCCATACATTGGCTTCTAAGTTCTAATCTTATACAATGTAATTATTACCTACATAAAGCACATCCACTAATCTCAGCTTCAAAGTCTTTTACTATGCGAATGCATCTCTTGGCAATCTGTTCAATAGGATCAACTCCTTCAACCCTTCCAGCTGCAACAGCATCAGGATTGAGTGCCCCACAGCTTTCTCTCGGGAAGATGTGCTGGCAAATTTGACAGTACCAGTTACCACGTGGAATACTTGATACAGATGCACATTCTGTACATTTCCAAACATAGGAACATACAAGTTCACTTAGAAGATGACTATATCGTAATTCAAACAAAGCAAATATTTTTTATAACTGCTGCTTCCAATTCAGTAAATCATGAAACTAAATTTTAGGCATTAAGAACATAAAAATTTCATCTACTTCTATAAGAAATTGAAGATTAATACCCTTTAGAAAGCAATATCTTAGTATTATAGAAGTTCATATTCAAACTGCCTGAAAGCATGGCTAAAGTACAGATTCCACTTGATAAATAATCCCATCCATCAATTATATTAGACAAATAAGATTATGCTAACTTGTAAGAATTTTATCTAGTAGAACTGTAGAACATAACTATTAACAAGGCATTTAGCAAAAGGAAGTGAAAAAGAACGAGGAAGGAAAAGAATAGATGTAAACAAGCTTTTCTCCTGTTCCTTCTTCATTTTCCTTTTTCCAAGAAGGTGGACAGAACATGCTTGAAACAAATCAGAATACGATGTCTTGAAGGGTAATATATGATCCCAACCCTCATGGTCACTTATATTCTTTTATTCTCAAAGCAGCTAAATAAGGCTCCTCTAAAGTGAGCTTGTCTAAGGATGTATGCATCCTTGATTTAATTTAGAATACATAGTGATCTTAACCCACTAAATTTAAGAGTAGATACACCTTCACTTGTACACTTCACAAACAAGCATACTTTAAAGGAGATTTTTTCCTATGTTAGCATCCAAGAGGATATAGTCGTATAGAAACTCTTGCACATATATCTTGACTTCAACCAAGGTGATATATAACTTCTTACCACATTAACAGGGGATAAATTAATGCCGAAGCAGTAATTTATTGGCTAAATAGAAAGAAGAACGAACACAAGGATTGCGAGAAAATACTATTTCTCTTTTCTTAATTTATTTAACCAAAAACAACATCATAACAATAGGGTTTTCCAAGCCTTAAATAGGCAAAATAAAAATAACAAAAAAGTAAAAAACTATAATCATGCGCAATCAAAAGAGATAACGCACACTCAAACGTAATCTAAAAATAACAAAAAGGAAAATAATTAATAATTATTGAAAAATCCTAAACTATGGAATAAATTATATAAAAGCCCAATCCAAATTAGTCAGCTCGAGTGCATCATTCTCTCCCACTTGGAAAAGATTCGCCCTCGAATCTACTTCGTCTTCATTGATATAAATTTCTTCAGATGGCAATTCTTCTGGTACAATATTACCAAATTTCCTAATTAAGATTAGGACTTGTGAATGCAATTCTTTGATATGCTTGGTATATTCACCTGCATTCGTATTAAACTGCTTGGGAACTAGAAATATTATGAGTTCTAAGGGAGTAAAAGGACAAAACCCATAAATTATTCCAAAAGGAATATTGCCTGCAGTTTGGATCAGTGATCGCATCTGTGATCCGTCATAGGAAAATTCCGTCTGATGTAACAGCAATTCCCATTGCCCTTGACGATCTCCAATTAAACTTCTACTAAAAGTTAAATCTTTATCTCCATGGAGCATGAGGTTGTTATGCTCGTTGTCCCCAAATTCATAATATTGCTTGCAAACTAAAGACTTATTGAACGAAGGATCATTCTGCATGATATCTTTGGGTAGAACTTCCTCTTTGTCAGAAATATTAGAATTTCTAATAACTGACTTTTCACTGAAATCACTACAAGAGATTTCTTCCACTCTGGATTCTCATCGTCTTGCTCCCAATCATACTTATCATAGATAGGAAACTCACCATAAACTGGAGCATCCATAACGGGATTCTCATCATCTTGATCTTCATCATATTCATCATAGATCGGTACTTTCTTCTCTTCTATCAAGTCTCTGATGTCAAAGACCCTTTCGACGGTGTGTAACCCGCCGATAAACTCATCTGGATGAGTGGTGCCCTCGAATTCCGAGATCTCAATCTTCACCCCAATATTAGCAAAAAAGGATTTATCGCCAGGTTGACTTCATCCGTGTCGCTCCTGGTTCCAAAATGGATTTATGCTCCTTTCCTCTGTATAAGATGATCTTTCAAACTCCCTTCCTTCATCTGACTCGTTCAACTGTGTTTGGGCAAATAGTTGTTCGAGCTCCTGAATTCATCTACCTTGTTCTGCCATTGTAGCGGCCATTGCAGCTATAACTGTGGCGTCTCGCGCGTCGATGTGTGGTTGTTCGTCGTCGCTGTTAAGGGTGTTACCACGCCCTCTACCGCCGTCGTCGCCTCGACCCCGTTTCCACGACCTCGACCTCGACCGCCATTGTTCTGTTCAGCCATTTATGTGACAACCAGAGCTCTAATTACCAAATAATGCCGAAGCATAACCTATTGGTTAAACAGAAAGAAGAACGAACACAAAGATTGCGTGAAAATACTATTTCTCTTTTCTTAATTTCATTTAACCAAAAAAAACATCATAACAATAGGGTTCTCCAAACCTTAAATAGGCAAAATAAAAATAACAAAAAAGTAAAGAACTATAATCATGTGCAATCAAAGGAGATAACGCACACTCAAACGTAATTTAAAAATAACAAAAATAAAAATAGTTAACAATTATTGAAAAGCCCTAAACTATGAAATAAATTATAGAAAAGCCCAATCCAAATCAGTCAGCTCGGGTGCATCATAAATAATTACAAAAAAAGATGATTCCACACAAATAGAAACTAGATAATTTGTTCATCAAATTTTTGTCACTTAAGTCTGACCTTTATGAAATGCCCTTGGGCATCCATCACAGAGCAACAGATTTCCGCCATCCCAACAAACAATGCATACATCATCATTATATTTTGCAGTGTATTTGCGATCTTTCGAGAGAAATATTGCTAACTCATGGAGAGAGACCCCATTCGACGTGTAGATGTATGCGTAACTGCCCAAAAACATTTTCACCGCCATGAAAATCCTTAGGTACAAGCAACAAACAATTCAAAAAGCTTCTGAATCCCCCAAAGGAAAGAAAAAAGAAAAGAAAACTCACGGTTTCCTACGAGAAGCCCACCCTGCATGGACCTCAAACTGTGAGGGGCTAATCTGCACAACATTTAAAATTGAAAGCTTTACCTATACAACTTATAAATTCCTGAGTGCCAACAAACAAACAAGAGAAAAATAAGTATAAATACCTCAGTGTTGCAACATCGACAAACAATTCCAGAGCGCCTTTTTATACCCTCAAGTAATTTCTATCAACCAGAATGTAACAGTTAATAGAGTGATAGACATACAATAACTTGTACATGAAATACACACCAAAACAACCTGTCCACGTGCATAATAAGCAACTTCAGCTCCATCAGGCAATCCCTCATCTTCAAAAATTAATTTATGCAATCGCTGATACCTTAAGAAGGATAAATTGGGTGAACAAAAAATTAATATAATCATTAAAGAAGAGAGATTAAAAAAAAATAACTACAGCCAGATATATACACAAATAAATGAAGGGGAAGAAGGGAACTAACTTTTTAGTGATCCTCCACGCACTCTTATTTTGTGGAGATAAACACTTTGAATTTGAAGTAAATGGGGCAGTCTTCAATTTTACTGACAGTTTTGATGACCTAGTAAAAACAACTGATTACAATAAAGAGACGGGAAATAGAGCTGGATACAACAAGGATGCTAAAAAATAAAGCTAGATACAAACTCTGTTTCCATGCTGCACAAATTTTTCCTGCGGAATAGAATAGGCACAGAAGCACACTTGGAAGAATTTGAGCTGCTAACCCGCTTTGATGACCTAAATAACACAATTGAAAGCATGTAAGTTAATATATATATATATATATATATATATAAACATCAACAAGAATGCAGACAACCTAATAATGAGAATTTTTTTTATGAAATCCATCAAGAATGAAACCATGTAACCACAGATTATTGGTTGGCGCAAAGTTGTTATGCAAGAACTACAAATTTGTGTCATATATAGGGTAAATGAAATAGATATAAATACCAACTTTGTTCTTGTCTTCGAGTGCCTCTTAGATTGTGAAGAGATGCACAGTTCAGAAGTACAGGATGTACTGGAACACAATACTGGTCGTGAGGACCTGAAAAATTGTAACATGACGATGAAAGAAAAGAAAGTCGGGGGGAAAAGGGCTCAAGAACTTTTCATTTCGCCTTACTCATGGTTTTAACATTTTGAAACCATTTTGACTTTCATTTTAAACTAGAAAAAAGATACATATAGTCAGATTTTGTTTTGTTCACATAATTATGTTATTATTACCTACATTAAGATTAAGAAACTTTTAGTTATATATTGAAGGCACACGTATTCCCTTCCCCAGACACTCACGAAGTGGGTATTTGAACTGGGTCGGCCATTTATTGAAGGCACACGTTATTTAACATTATCATTAATTGAATAGTTATTAATAAACATCCTAACATCAATGAGTCAACAACACAAACTGGTAATCAAACCAATGACCATCCCAATTTCTATGTCCATTATTTCAAGACAATGAAATTATTATCTCTCTGTTGTGAACCAACTCTCTTAAGAACTTAAGCTATTAGGTGAAGACACATGGATCATTTTATATTACACGTCTCTAATAGGCCTCTTCACTCAAAAGCCCTTTGGACTTGAAGCGCGGACAATTCATAGACCCACCTATCTCATTTTGAAATTCAACATTTTGTTAGAAGAATAGGGGCAGCATAGATCGAACTTTAGACCACTTGGTAATAAAGCCTCTAATACCATATGATGAACCAACTCTCCCCAAAACTTAAATTGCTCATTCCAAAATCAAGAAAATGAATGAATTTTATTATAATATGAAGAAGTTATTCTGTGAGAATCTTTCTAGTAAAAGATTGTCATTCAATAGATTAGTAACTGTAAAATAAGCAAGCGAGCAGTTTTTTAAAACCAAATACATTCAAGAAAAGCTAGAATACAAAGCTGCCATCCTTCTAAAGCCAATTGTTTTAAAAAATCCCAGATTATTACCAACAACATTATTTGGTAAGTAAATAAATATTCATAGGACAAGGTTTTCCAAAATCTTAACAAAGAAAACTAGTTATCTATTAAGTACAGTAGGCAGAAGAAATGAATACCTGACTCTTTTGCCAACTGCATGAATAGAACTGTCTTCAGATTTCCTTGATTCCACGCAAGAATGACATGTAAGTCCCACTCTTTCCACACTTGAAGAAGGGAAACACCCTGTGGGAAGAATAAGAATAAGCATCCAAGGCAATCAACAAAGAAATAGTAAAATAAAAACTCTGTAATCTTTGGTTTAGTTTTCACCCCCAAAAACTATGATCAGCATGTCAAACTAGACAACAAAAATGACTCCAAATAACAAAAGCAAAGCTCTAACCTTTGCAACTTTTGCAAGTAAAATATTTTTCTTCAGGCAGAGAACAAACAAAATTTAGAATAGTCGCCTCCAAAGTATGTAGGGGAGCTGCCCTACATGCCCTCAATAGTTCAAGAAGGCTCTTCCCATTTTCAAGGCAAATATACTGTGCTGCCCTCTTATATGTTTGGCAAGCATGAATCTCAAATTGAGAAGGTGGAATAACCTGCATAGGCAGAAGTAACAAGGAAAAACAAATGAAAGAGCAGTCTCGAACCAAAGAAACCACTGGATAGTGGGTACCCATTACTCAAAGACAAAACGTTAACTTACCTGGCGTCCATTGCACAGACAACATGAACATAATATCCCCCCATCTGTAATTACACCCCGCAATCCTGAAGTTGAATCCTATAATCACAACACACCAGTATTAAACTCAGTGGGCAGTATATTTATCCGCAAAAGCTACCCCTCAAATAGACCACTAGTCTCCACCAGAAAATAAAAAAGGATATTAATTCGAAATAATGTTACAGGGAGCCAAGCCTGTTAATAAAAGTTTATTGATAGGAGTCTAATGTACATGCAGCATCAGTCTAATTTTTATTTTATTTTTTACAATTATCATATTATCATTTAATTACGTTGGACTGTCATATCATTCAATTATGTGTTACCATCTCATTAGAATAAATTGACCTTATGTCCTTATTATTATAATCAAGCTGTAAGAATGGCTTGCTAAAATATGATTGGATTAGATAATATTGTAAAAATAAAATAAAATAAAATTAGCAAAGGGTAAAAATTAAATCGTATAGAAAATATTCACTAACATTAATGCATCTCCTAATGGACCAGGCAATTTCAATAAGTACATTCGTTAGCCAATCACTTCTACTAAAACAAAATTAAGATAAGATATGGTTCGGGCACGTAGCAGAATCTATTACATTATAAAAAATAAAATAAAACAATGTTAATGGAAACAAATGAAAAACGAACCTTCTTGCAACCCACGTAAACAACTGGAACCCCATCAAGCAAACCAGTCTCGAAGAGCTCCTTGACGGTCACGGGCTTCTTGTTTACCACGATGACCTTCTTTGACATCTTCAATTCCAACTTGCTCTTCTCACTGGTTAATGCTTTAACATTTGCATCTTCTGATTCTGACTCAACCTTGGGCTTCAATGCCGATCGCGTATCCCGCCCGAACGTCCTGAAAACGACGTCGTTACGCACCGCCTCATCACCATTGTTGAGAATCACATGATCAACCTCGCTGGAAGAGCCACCTTCCCCTAACACTTGGTTTTCCACTTTAATTTCTTCGTTAAGACAATCTTCGGAGGTTTTGAGCCTCTTGGATTTCTCATTCTCGGAATGGAGGGTCCTCTTTCGTCGAGTGTAAACGATGTAGTCGTTCGCCACGTCAGCTATCTGCTGATGCTGCATCTTGGTGCCGCTGTTATCAGAATCCCGCAAATTAATCGTGGATTCGAGTGCTGGATTCGCGGCTTCCATGAAATCAGCACCGAAATCTGAAGGAGTAGGAAGGAATTAGGAGGAAGGGGACATAGGAATTGAAGATGGAGGGTGAAATTGAGAAGAGAGAGAGAGAGAGAGAGAGTGTGTAGGGTTTTGGAGAGTGTTTCAGAGATGTTTTGTGATTTGGAGATTTTGATTTGCGAAGAAGAGGAATGGGAGGTAGGAGAAGAGGGGTCCACGAGTTTGACTCACTGAGTCACACCGGTAACTGACCAGCTCAGGAAAAGAGAGAAGGAGGGGTATAGGGACTCGGAGGTTAAAAGTACGGATATGATTAAAACATGGATATAATAATCTTGAGGAGGAATATTCTCACTACCAAAATTTTTCACTACCTATCTAATCATATCATTATATTAACATTTTCTCTCTTCAAAAACTTTTTAACATTCTCTCTTTGATCCAAGGGTGATGTGATGGGTAGTAAGTTAATAGTAAGAATTTTTAATAGTTAGAATATCCTCACTCAATAATGTTTGAATGATATTTACTACTTCCCAAAAAGTGTTTATCTTTTTAAATGACATAATTTATATCCTTTCATTCTTCATAAAGAGGTGAAATTCACACTTTTATTTTTTTTGTCAACTCTCTCCTCATTTATCTATCTTTTTCTTCCTCTTATAATGACACAACTTTACATCTTTTAAAATGACACACATTTTTCCCTTACTAGTTATTATAAACATAATAAAATGATATTATTTATTTGATTATTACAATAACTTATTTGTATAAGCTATGTTGCATCGATACCGACACGGGACACGGGATACGATACGACACCACACTCCGACACGTTAATTCTAAAAAATGTTAAACTTCGACACGTTAGGACACGATTTGATATTATATAATATTTTTAATTTATGTAGTGTATATTATATATAATATTCACTAATTTAACAAAAAAATAAAGCTAAACTTATAATACCCATCAATTTTGCAAAGAAACATAATACATCTGAAATGTTTATATTAAACTCAATAAAATAGTAATCGTAATCTAACGAATCTAATAGTTGGAACTCAAAATGCAACGCAACATAACTTTTGAATTTTTTTTGAGTCTTTGCATCGAGTATTGAAGTGTCCGAGTGTCGATGAGTGTCGTGAAGTGTCGGATACGACACATCAGGGATTTTGAAGTGTTGGTGCTTCATAATGTATAAGTATGAAAAGTTTCAAAATAAAATTTATAAATTTCAAATATTTAATATTTGAATTTTATTCTAAAATCACTTATTTCTCTTTTTTCTATCATTTTTTGTTAAGGAATTTATTTATTTTTTTAAAAATTTCGGGACCACGTTCATAAAAATGAATGGATTCCATTATTAAGAGAAAACAATTACTGAGATATTTTTATTTTTATATAAGTGTATCAGAGAAAATTTTCTACAGCAAAAATTAAAATATTAAACAATTTTTATATATTTTTTCGTCGATTTAGATGTTAAAATTACATTGGTCGTCTATCTCACTTTCATCAAGAGTAGATTTAGCATCATAGTTTTCTTTCCCTCATAAATAGTAAATGACAGGTTTATATTGAAGTTCATATTCAAGAGATTTCTTACTTATATTTTAGGATTTGACCTTTAATTCTTGAAAGTTCCAACTTTTGAAAAGAATGAAGAGCCTCAAACTCCACGTATCAATAAATAAATAAATAAAAGCTTAAAACTCGAAATCAAATTAGTTTAATCTCTTTAAAATTTGGACTTCTATAAAAAAATTGTTTATGAATTTGTATAAGACTGAAATTTGAAATTAAAAAAAAAATGAATTCTATGCTGTGATGGAATAGTATTTTTAGCATATTTTTATTTACAAATCAGAAATTAAATAGATTTGGATGGAAAAAATATTAAAAAGTAAGTGATGAAAAAAACAAGAGATAAGTAATAATATGTAAATCACAGAAAGGGTATTTAACATTTCCCTAAAGAAAAATGATCCAATACAATATTAGGATTATTACCTTAAAAATTAGGGTTAGGAGAATTGGACTGGTTCTCACATAACTAATGGTGGCAGTCTCATTAAGTACCCTAGTAGTAGGGAATTGACACAAAACACTATGGGTGTGTTTGGTACAAGAGAAATTTTTTGATATCCAAGAATCACAATTACTGGGAATTCGTGTAGAAATTGAGTTTACTTGAAATGTTATGAAAAAGTTGTTTGGTTCGTCAAAATATTACCGGAAATATTGGGTAACGATTACTGATTCCATGTTTAGTTTAAAATGAAATATTACTTGGAATATGATGCTATATTACAAAAATAACCCTTGAGTTTCAGCTTGACTATAAAACTTTTATTTTATTCTATTCATCAATTTCAGACCACGGTGGAAAAATATATATCATCTCATAAAAATCAACCACGGTGGACCTTACCAACAAATCGATTTAAAAATCAATTGAGTCGAGTCATGTAAAAATCATTTGTAAATTAAAGTTAGTGAGTCTTGTAAAAAAACGAATGACTCTGGAGAAAAACATGACTTAGTTGACTTATTGGTGAGGAACACAAATCGATTTAAAAATCAACCACGGTGGACCTTGCCTACAATCAACCAAACGAGCGCAAACGAAAAGAGTGGTTTTTGCAGACAGCAAACCTAGGTTTCCATGGGTGCTGCTTTCATTACAAAAAAAAATTCAAAAAAATCAGTGTCAGCTACACAAGGAAGACAACCGACTGTGGAGCAGCACACAAGTCAGAAGATTTGCTGGGGTATATTTGTCTCAAATTTTAGTGTTGTGCTTCCCTTCGTGTGGAATTCGGAATTACCACGTTTTTTTTGGTAATCTGCACAGTAGCTTTTCTTTTTTACTCAAATTACTGGTAATTAAGGATATCCGGTAAAAGGAATTTTGTTTAGTTGTACCAAACGTGGCAATTCATGTTTACCAAAGTAGCTTTACCAGTCATCTTTCAAATAACCTTGTACCAAACACATATGGGAATTTGGAACCATGGATCTCATGAGCTTCATAAAAAGGAAGTGCGAACTCTACCTAATATACTCAAATATGTTATATTCCTTAATTTTTAGTGGCAACCATTGCTTAACTTGGTAGGTACTCAGATTTTAAGGCATATTGATTTTTTTATTAATTGTGAATTATTTAATTGGCAATTGGTTTTAAATATAAATGAATATTCAAATTTTACTAAAATAAGTTGGCAACAAATAAATATTTGAAAAGTAACAAGGGATCAGTACCAAAGAAGAAGAAAAAAGCATAACTATCCAAATAAATAATCCCTATAAAATTATCATATTGCCTATAAGGTAGTCTGTTTCATCTGAATATGTACTGCTCTGACATAGCGTTTGTTCTCTAATTAAGAATGGCAGGAAATAGTTACAAACCATAAAACAAAAACAAAAATTTCGCCCGAATCAAATATGTTCTGTTTGGAATTTATTACAAATTTATCACAAATTCAGCTATTTCAAAAATATTTTATTTTTATCTTACAAATTTTTTATTATTTTTCATTCCAAATCTTCATGAAACTCACTGTCTTTTCAATTGCTAATGAAATTTAATATAACATTTTAGAGGAAGGTTATACTTACATTATTTTAGGTTTATCATTCTTACTACCTGTTTAGTTATCGTTAGTTCAATTTGAAATTAATGGTTGAAAAAATATTAGTTGTCGTTAATTTTAAATGAATCTGACAATAACCAAACATGTAATAATACTAGTAACCTAAAATGATGATATGTATAACTGCCCCCAACATTCTATGGGACAAGTGCACAATTAATATTGCATTGTCCAGTTTAAATAGTTTTAAATTAGATATTAGGGCAAAATTTAGTGAGTTTAAGAAATATTCAGGACAAGAATTGTTGGATTTTGGATCTAAATCTCACGGGTTATGAATAAGAAGTTTGGTATTGAAAAGGTGTGTCTTTTCGATGACAAAAAGATGTGTCTTTTCATCTTAACAGATGTATTGCTTCATCTTAATGGACGTATTGTTTCATCCTTGAATGGGTGTCTTTTTGTGTCAAACGAATGTGTCTTTTCATATCAAACGGATGTGTCTTTTCATGTCCAACGGATGTGTTGTTTCATCGTCAAATAGATTCCTTTTGAATCGTGACCTTACGTTTATTGTTAGGAAAAATGATGATAAAGTCATCAAGAGTGAATAATTTGTGCTAGAGAAATTATTTTGATAATCGTAGTTCCATAAAATGCACACAAGAAATTAAAATATGCAATAACACACAGTTAAAGCATACCGTATAAAAATATATGAACGTGACGAAGAAAAATTTGAACCCAGTGTTAAATATTGTGTCCTTAAGACAATATTGCCCTCTTTGTGGTGTCCAAGATTCGTGGACAACTGTCTACCAGGATAGAACGGATTACCTCTATTCTTGTGGCGGCACTTTCACATAAAATAGCCCCAGCGAACTCAACATATGCCTGAACAATCGCATTAGAATAATAGAATGCAAATGCAAAAAAAAAAAAAAATCTCTTTAAAACTGTGATTGTCTATCTGTTTATAGAAAACGTAAGGTCACGATTCAAAAGGCACCTACTCGACGACGAAACAACACGTTCGTTAGGATGAAGCAACACATCTGTTCGGCATGAAAAGACACATTCGTTCATCGATGAAAAGACACACCTTTTCAAGTCAAACTTCTTATTCATAAGAATAATTAATTTAAAAATTAATTCCAGCAGTCCCCCACATGAATAAGAAGTTCAACAATTGAGACCATATGCATATGAGACTCAAATGCAATGTGCGATTGATCAGTGAGAAATAATTGCATTGAGATAGGTAAGGGTCACCTTTGAACCTTCTCTAGTGAAACCTATTGAGTATACTCGGTAAATCGGTGGTCATGATGACTTGAACCGTCGACCTTTAGTGTATACCAAGACAATATGAGTCACACAATTGCTTTCCCAACATTGTTGGTTCTCATTATTGTGCCTATTTTGGCCCTGGACACCTGCCTAGTTCTGCGAGTGTTCTAAAGAATCGGCTTTTATAAATTCTCATAGAAACGACCCTCACTTCACACTCACATAGGTGATTCCTTATAATGTAACTCAACATACATTATCTGAACATATCAGATTCAGAAACCATTAAAAGCCTAAATGTTTACCCTCATATATACATTGTCGTGTCATAGGAATGGTATGAATTT